CCATAGATTAGTCGAATTAGTCCAAACCATAGATTAGTCCAAACCATAGATTAGTCGAATTAGTCCAAACCATAGATTAGTCGAATTAGTCCAAACCATAGATTAGTCGAATTAGTCCAAACCATAGATGCTCGCCTAGACACTTGATGACAAAAATGTAGCTGTATGATATATTTGTCTCTTCCAGGACTCTAGTATGTCGTGGGCTGAGTTTTCAACAGCCGTTAGCAGCACAGTGCAAGAAATCATTATAAATACGATAGAAGATGAATCTAACGCTAAACCTAAATATTTATTAGAGTTATTGAGAATGATGCAAATATTTGTCAATTTAACTTACACTGTGAACAAGGTGAGTGTCAGTGTTTCAAATTATTGCCATGATGCATGGTATCATATAGTGACCCGTTTTTTTTTTAGCTCCGCTGTTGACTTTGTCGAGTTGAGCTTATCATATTAGTGATTGTCTGCCGTCGTCCGGGTCAACTTTTTACTTTTTCGACTTCTTCTTGGAAACTACAAGTCTGAATGCTTTGATACTTAGTGTATATGTACCTTGGGCAGACCTCTCTTAGATTTGTTCATTTCATGATGACATCTTTAATTCTCTAATTTTAGTGAATATTTTTGACTTCTTGTTGGAAACTGCAAGTCCAATTTTATATATATATAGGTACTACATGAGAACCTTTCTCAGATTTGTTCATTTTGTGATGATATCTTCAATTTTCTAATTTTGGTGAATATTTTTGGTAAAAAGTGATATTTTCGACTTCTTGTTAAAAACCGCAAGTCTGATGCTATTGATACCACACAGATTTGTTCATTTCGTGGTGATATCTTAAATTCTCCTATTTTGATGATTGTTTTTGGTGAAAAGTGATATTTTCAACATCTTGTTGAAAACTGCAAGTCTGATTGCTTTGATATAATAATACATATAAGTACATCAGGTAGACCTCTCTCAGATTTGTTCATTTTCTATTGATATCTTCAGTTCTTTAATTGCAATGTGCATTGCTAACAGGGTAGCTATCTCAACCAAGAGGCTGCTTGTTAATTTTCAGAATATAGTATTTGAAATACAAAAACAAAGTATCGAATGTTTTGTTTGCAGTTAATCTTTCAACAGTTTTTTATTTTGTGATATATTATGACTATTTGTACTCTTCAAGTTACCAACTCTGTCCAAAATGTTTATAACCTATCGGTAACCATAACCTAACTCTATCAAACATTGGGGACATAGATACATGGGAATAATTTGGCAAACTGAATATCCTGTACTACAATCATCAAATCCATTCTTTAGATAACACTCATTCATTGGCAGAGCTGTTTTTTATAACAAAGATAATTGTTATCAGTCACAGTCAAAAGCTTGTATCATGAGAGGTTAGCAAGTACTTATCATTTCTGTAAAATCTGTTTTTTTTCCAGGAGTCTAGATGCAGGGAAACCTGGACTGACTTCCCAACACTGCTAGAAAAACTTGCGCTGACTACCCTTGTGAGCAAATCCAGCGAAATCAAAATAGCAGTTGCTGCTCTCCAAAAAGCTATGCTTGGCAGGTGAGCAGTTATTTCTTAGATCTGACACTAGAGGGGTATTTACTAGATTTGCTTGGGTCATTGATACTTTTTCCAAGCTATTTCTTTTTAGCTTTAACATTTAACATTTTTAAATTTGGTACATAGATACTTTTGGATAATGTGCATACATTCCCATGCATATTATGTAGCTAATTTGCATATTATTTGTCATTTCAGCCTGTGAAAGCAAAATCTCAAAACTTCTGAATAGATTTTGATCAAACTTAGAACATAGGTACCGTGTGGTAATAGGCAAACATGATTAGTATTAGGGCCATGTCACATGCACATTAACTATCTCATTTCAGCCTGTGTATGCAAAATTTTAAAAACTTTCTAGTGGATTTCGATCTCCTAACCTCTAATGTAATTTCTCTTTCACTGTTGAGAAATTTCATTTTTTTTAGATATTTTTTCATAAAACAACAATGATTGCAGATACAGGAGCATTGTGGAATTTAACTTTGATATTTAGTGGTCCTGACATTATGCATTTAATGCTTTAAAATTTTTATAAATAATTTGTCTATGTATAAAATTTTTTAAGATATCTAATTTTTACTTGTTTTCAGTGATGAAGTCAAACATCGAGGAAGGAAGAGGAAACGAAAGAAACAAAAACATCGTGCAAAAACAGGTGGTGCTATTGCTAATGGCAACAGTGAATGAAAGAATTTATTTTTGGAGTAACTAAATTTTAAACAAGAACATGTTACAAGAACAATTGTGTTCAATATCAAATCCATAGATGGATGCAGAATGCTGCAATCATGAACAATATCAATGAATTATTAATGATTAATAAAAGATATGTAATTGGCCAAAAAAAGTTGTTTTAATTTTTTTTTGTTATATTTAGTTCTTTAAACTAGAGCTAATAGAATCCCTGTCTGTGCATTCTCTGACATCCCTTGATGTTATCATGTTGCTATGACGACCCAATTACTTTGTAGGTAATGTAAAAGCCAATGAATTAAAGTAACACAATTAATATAGCAAACAAGGAATATTTTCTTGACACTGTCAGTGTTCCAGAAGTGCATTCCATGATGTGGGAAATGATACCAGGTTATTTTGTATTGTCAATAATGTAAGTAAATCTTCAGATGATGTTCCAGAGCATTTAAGTGTACATTTGATACTTTCATACATATAAGTGCTGTGAATATGTATTTTTTTCCATGATTTAAGGTAATGTATCAAAATCAGTCATGTTCATGATTCCAATAGAGCATAGAAAGATTCTGTTCGATCTTGGTACATACACTTAATTAACATAATGTGACGTTTGATGCACATGGTTTTATTATTCGGAGCTGGTTTAAATTGGTCAACTGGAGCCATTTACTGGTAGATGCATTTGTTCCATGATCAGATTCTTGATGGCCAAATAGCAGCCATTTTAAGGACAAAAAATGTATAAAAATCACATTATTTTTTGGATTGCCAACTGGCAACTACATGCATTTTGTTTTAAAAAATGCAATTCTGGATTTATATATTCAACTTGCTTGGACTAATAAAGGTCAAGCTTCACACATGAAATTAGACATAATATCAGGTGAATGCATATGCATTTTTGTCACCATCACATCCAAAATGCCTGAATGGTGGTCATCTTGTTTAAACAAATGCAGTTCCACAGAGCCTTACCTCATGCATGCTTGAACCAATCAAGTTAAATCTTCACACTTGCATCAGCTTATATATCTCGCATCTATAATACAGGGACGACCGGTATATCATTTACACTGCTGACTTGTTTTGTTTCTTTATAACATTTTCCATTACATTATTAATGGTAGTGCACAATTTGACCTGATGTACTATACTTCAATGGTCACAAGCCCCTGCCAATAAAAAAGCCAACCTCATGCTTTCATGCTCTGTTATTACACTTAATGAAACAATTGATGCAATACTAAAATGATCCATATCTCTTGATTAGAAGAAAGTTGCTTCTGAAATGGCAAATATGTTAGTGTTGAGCCATGAAACCTGCTCAGGACTCTGGGACCTTGGAGGCAGAACGCACCAGCCTCCTAGACCAGGCGACACATTTACTGGTGGGTCACCGCACATCTACGTACGACAACCCCTAGTGTCACCTGGCTCTCTTGGCCGGGGCCACTACTGTGCAACGAGATGCGGCCTTAGACGCGTGTGTTTTCGCCGGCAAGCTGGGTCAGTGGGTATGTCCCCACCTCAGTGACACAGACTGGACATCTTCCATCCTCTTTGTTCAGGGAATGGTGGGTACAGTCTCGGAGCTTCGGAGTGCAATGGACCAGAGGGTTCAGATTGAATCCGCTAGCCAGTTGGCCCTGCCAAGGTTAAGCGGAGGGCACCCCAAGCACAGAAAACACAACCCCCTAGGGCGTCGTCTGCTAGCCAGAGTCAGCCAAGAGACAAGCCAGGGGGAAGCGTGTTTGACGCTTACCTCTGCGACCGGGGGAACAAGCATGTGCTCGGCGAGTGGCCAGGTCACAACTTAGTGACTACTTCAAGCCTTGGAGAAACTCACCTCATGGGAGAAGAGAGCACCCACCCCTGGCAACTGCCGAACCCATGGTCACATATCCCTGTCGTACACAGATTGCTGTGGTGTAGTCCGGTTTGGAGACAGCGGGTGACCGATCCCTGGACCTTTCCAGGTGGTGACATCCAGTTATGGGATACGGCTGAAATCTCTATCCCCCCGTCAGTGTCTCCCCTATTGGGCACTGCCAGGGGACTCCCGCAAGGCGGAAACAATCAGGAAGTAGCAGTTTGCTGGAAAAGGGCACCATACACAGGGTAGATCAGCCAGTATTAAGTCCAGGCTTCTACCCAAATGTGTTTGTAGTACTAAATCTACAGGTGGCGGGTGTCCAGTTCTGGACCTAGGCAGACTAAATCAGTTCATGCTCCTCGATCAGTTCCACATGGAGACCATTCAGGGTTCTTCTCTCCATCCACTGTTTCAAGTGGCTAGCCCCACTAGACTTAAGCGGGCCTACCTGCACATACCGATGCACCCAGCGAGTTGCCACCTTCTTTGAATCGCCCAGCTCAGCCAAGTATTCGAATTTCGGGTACCCCCCGTTCAGGTTATGCACAGTGCTTTACGTGTTCACCAGATTGATGAAACAGGTAGTGCTGCTGCTTCACCAAATGTACACCTCAATCCGTACCTAGACGACTGGTTACTACACAACCCGGACAAGGGGTTATTAGCCAAACACGTCAGGCTAACACAGGATTTACTTCACCAGTTGGGCTCTTTAGTAAATCGACAAGTTCCATCTTGACCCAACGCGCAGTTGGTGTTCCTGGGCATGGAGTTTGACACAGAGGTAAGCTTGGCTTAGCTATTTCAAGCGTGTTGCTTAGCGCTAAGCAGCCTAGCCGAAAGCCTAGTCAGCGTTCCCTCAGTGTCCCTCCGAGAACTAATGCGGATCATCGGAATGATGACCTCTGTTCAAAGGGTGGTTCCCCAGGCCACACTATGCAGCCACCCAGTATAACGCTCGTTGTTACAACGCCGAGCTCTCCTATGGGAACTAGATAGACAGGTTTTGACCTCAGACCAAGAGAAGGAAGCCCTGCCCTGGTGGTTGTCACCGCAGGTACGACTCTGATAACAGATGCCTTCCCCCAAGGTTGGGGAGCGCATCTATTGGACGAACAAGCCCAAGGATACGGCCCCTGCATTAGTTTCGGGACTACCATATCAACTGGCTCGAACTGAAAGCAGTGCACTTAGCACTACCATGCTTTCTACCCATAGTTCGAGACCATAGAGACCTGCTCAGCACAGGCAACGCAGTGATGGTCTCTTTCAAGAAGGAGGCGGGTATGTTCCCCATCATTGTCAGTCCTAGCAGAGCAAATCCTATTTGGTTCCTGGAATACAATGTGGAGCAAACTGCACACCACATTCAAGGGGTGAGGAACAGTCTGGCAGATGCCCTTTCAGGGCGGCACTGTCTGCAGAACACAGAGTAGCTGTAGTAGCCTCCGGGCTGTTTCGGCTGCCTTTCTTATTATTTACCCCTGTGTCGTCTTTTTGTGTGCATTGCCTTACAAGAAAGAAAAACTCTGGTAAAAAATTTGGCTACGTTGTTGGATCACTTTGTGTCAGCTTTTAACTGTAATTCGTTCCTGTCTTGTTCATTTTTTTAGAAAGGGTAACACACCAGAGGCTCTTCACCTCCAGGGGACCCTTGCTAGATTTGAGCGATGCTTACCCACACATACCGATACACCCAGTGAGTCAGCGACTCTCTTGATTTGTCCAGTTGGGCCAAGTAGTCAAGTACAGGGTTTTGTTGAAACAGGCGGAGCTACCGCTGCGCCGGTCGTTGGTACGTATCAACCCGTACCTAGATGGCTTTCTAGTAAATCAAGCGAAGTCTCATTCTCGGCCAACACAACAGTTGGTCTTCCCGGGCATGGAGTTTGACACTGAGGGGGGTTTGGTACGGCCATTGCAGACCCATTGCCTAAGCGGCCTAGCCGAACGCCTAGTCAGCGTTGCCTCTGATCATCAGAATGATGACCTTTTTTCACGGGGTTGTTCCCCTAGGCCGATCCATTACAGCACACTTTGTCGCAACACCGGGCTCACTTACAGGAACTGGAGAGGCAAGAAACACTCTTGGACAAGCGAGAGATACCTTGTCCTGGTGGTTGGCAATTGCCAATCTCAGGGAGGGGGTCCCCTTCGACCCACTCGCCACTGCTATGACTCTGGTAAAGGATGCCTCCCTCACAGGTTGGGGAGTGCACCTATTGGACGAACAAGCCCAATGAATATGCCCCCTGCATTAGATTCAGAACTGTCATATCAACTGACTCAAACTAAAAGAAGTGCACTTAGCACTGATACACTTTCTACCCATTTTTCGAGGCCACAAGTCTTGCTTCGCATGGACAACACAGCAAGGGTCTCTTATAGCAACAAAGAGGGGGACCAGATCATTGTCAGTCCTAGTGGAGCAAATTCTGTCTTGGTACCTGGAATACAATGTGGAGCTACCTGCACTGCACCTTCCAGAGGTAAGAAAAAGTGGCGGCTCCGTCTCCAAAACGTGTAGTATCAGATACACCACGGGGTAGCCTCCAGACTGTTTTGGCGGTGGGACGGTCCAAGGTTAGACCTATTCACCACACCCAGGAATGCCAAGCTCCTGACATACATGACACTCCTGCCGACTCCAGGGGCCAGGGACGTTTTGTCGACCCTGTGGACTCACATGGACGTGTACGCCCTTCCTCCCTTCCCACTATTTACCGGGTACTGGAGAATCTTCGACAAGAGTGCACCTGCATTTTGACACGAGTGCCACCCAACAGGCTAAGCAAGGTCTGCTTTCTACTACTGTTGGAAATGTTAATCAAAACACCAGGGGTGCACACTGCCTTTGAGCCCAGCGGTGTACCACCCATCAAGGCTCTCAGTTGACTCACTCAGATTTTTTCTAAGTGGACCGCCAACGTCCTGGCCAGGGCGAACAGGGATCCCACCAACACAGCCTATGCTTCGAAATAACGAGCGTGCTGAGTTACTATGAGAGCCATACTAAGGAGTCAAGGCATGGCAGCAATCACATGTTTATGTGTTATGGCCAGGGTAAGCAGGACAGACCAGCCTCCCTGACTTCCATTGCCAGGTGGATCACTTCGACCAGGTTCAAGGTTTATAACCGTTTGGCTTCCTTGACACAGGGTTTACAGAGACACCAAGTACGAGCTCATGAGGTCCGTGCGATTGCTAACTCATTAGCTTTTGCGTCGGGTGCCCCTCGAACATGTGCTAAGGGCAGGCTTCTGGAGAAC